TTTTCCAAGACAGTCTCACTCTGTCTCGGTTGCCCAGGTTGGAGTGCAGTGGCACAATCTTGGCTCACTACAACCTCTGCCTCCTGGGTTCAAACAATTCTCCCTGTCTTAGCCTCCCGAGTAGCTGGGATTACAGTTGCCTGCCACCATGCCTGGCTAATTTTTGTATTTTCAGTAGAGACGGTTTCACCACATTGGACAGGCTGGTCTCGAACTCCTGACCTCAAGTGATCTGCCTGTCTCAGACTCCCAAAGTGCTGGGATTACAAGCGTGAGCCATGTACCCTGCCTCAAACCCTCTTCTTAAGGAGGCTTTTCCTTTGTTCTATGACATGAAGAGAGGCAGGTTAGGAAATTCAGCACCCATAGAGATAGATGCTGTCCACACCTGTGCATTTGCACACTGAACTATGTCACCACCCATGCCAGTGCACTTGATGCCAGCTGCCTAGGCGGGAAGCAGTTTACCTCCTGAGTCTGTTTTTCTGGGACTAAGATTAAAATGAGTTTGCATTTGCCTTCCCTGAATAAACATCAGTGAAAGGGAAAAGCTAAGTAAGCCACAGGAGCCCATGTGGGCCCAACTGGGAAAGAAAAGGGCCAGACGGGCTTGGAGAGCCAGAGAGACTATGTTCAGCTCAATACTGAAGCTTCTGAAGGGATGAGGCTGGCCTTTGGGACTTGCCCCAGGGCCAGACCATGGTGTGTCACAGCACCGCAAGCACTGTGGTGAGGTGGTGGACATGTTGTGGGACCCCCTTTTGTCGGGAAAGGGACCTAAGAAGCCAGGGCTTGGACTGAGCTGTTGTTACAAGCCGCTCCAGAGATGGATTTTCCCCCTGTGGTTTTGGGAGTCTAATGCATTTTCCAAGTGCTTTAAGATCAAAGGGTATAGTGAGTAATATTACCTTAGGCCCATAAAGTCCATCCATCTTCCTCCCACACACACCATTAAGCATTCAGGGTAACCCAGAAGGTGCTACTAGACTTCCAGGGAGCTTAGCTTTGATTGTTCACAATTTTTTCACTTTTCTGGAAAAGAGGATTACAAGATATAATCCTTCAACTATTATTGGTTTCCTGGATTAGGGATATTATCTCATTTGATCCTCATAATAGCCCTGCAAAGTAGGAACTATTGACTCAATTTTCTTTTCTTTTTTTTTTTTTTTTTGAGACGGAGTCTTGCTCTGTAGCCCGGGCTGGAGTGCAGTGGCCGGATCTCAGCTCACTACAAGCTCCGCCTCCCGGGTTTGCGCCATTCTCCTGCCTCAGCCTCCGGAGTAGCTGGGAATACAGGCGCCCGCCACCTCGCCCGGCTAGTTTTTTGTATTTTTAGTAGAGACGGGGTTTCACCGTGTTAGCCAGGATGGTCTCGATCTCCTGACCTCGTGATCCGCCCGTCTCGGCCTCCCAAAGTGCTGGGATTACAGGCTTGAGCCACCGTGCCCGGCCTCAATTTTCTTTTCTTTTCTTTTCTTTTCTTTTTTTCTTTTTTTTGAGACAGAGTCTTGCTCTATCGCCCAGGCTGGAGTGTAGTGGCGTGATCTCAGCTCACTGCAACCTCTGCCTCCCCAGTTCAAGCAATTCTCCCTGCCTTAGCCTCCCGAATAGCTGGGATTACAGGCGCATGCCACCATGCCTGGCTAAGTTTTGTATTTTTAGTAGCGATGGGGTTTCGCCATGTTGGCCAGGCTGGTCTTGAACTCCTGACCTCAGGTTATCCTCCCACCTTGGCCTCCCAAAGTGCTGGGATTATAGGCACGAGCCACCATGCCCGGCTGCCTCAATTTTCTAAGTGAAGAAAATGGGTCTCAGTGATCTATAGAAAACGTAAGGTGGAAAGCCTAGGTTTGCACCCTGGTTCTGTGAAGGGATTTGAGGTGACACTGGTTACACTCTTAGTATAGGGCTATCACATAGGAGGAGCCTGGACAATGGCTCAACATCACTGTCCCCATCCCACATCTCCACTGCTCATCTAAGGCCACCCTGCTGGCAAGCCTGAGCATGAATGGAACCGAAGACTTTTGATGCTAAGTCCCCAGCCTTTCCGCTTTTCAATTATGTTGAAATTAATCAGAGATCTCAACCCTGGCTTTTGAAGGCCGGGCCTCCATCTCATCAAAATCGGAGTGTGCGTACTTGATGGAGGTTATTAGACCATCAGTGGTTTGCATGTGTATGTGGCACATCTCAGGATGTCATGGGAGACACACCTCTGATGGGCTGGGTCCCTGTACCTGACCCTGGTTCCCAGTCACTGGGTTTGAGAAATGTTGAGAACAGGAATGTTGTTGGCCATGCAAATCAACAAAGGCAGAAAAAAAAAAGACAAGTTGATGGCTCAAGGCCATTCCAGCTTCAGAATTCTTCAAGAACAAGATGAGTGGTTTGCTGATCCCCTGTGACCAGAGTAATTCTGAGATGGCCCTTGGTAACCCAGGGTCTCACAGATATTTCTGTAACATTGACCTTGAGTGCCCTTCTTGTATATTAAGTCCAGAGAGTTAGTACCATCAGCCCATCGCTGAGTAACAACTGGGCTTAATATGCATCCAGCTTTGGGGGATACCATAAGACATGGTCCCTGGACTCCAAGGAGCTCCCAGATCTCACTGAAGGAACTAGAGGACAATCTGGAGTGCAAACAAGAGTCCCCCCTCTTTTGGAAGCTTGGCTGTGGGTTGCTCTGGGCAGCAGTGGGTCAGTGTGGTGCGGACAGGGGATGGCTCCCAAGTGCTTTTTGTGCATTGCATCATTTAGTCCTCACAACTTCCCTACAATGGGTAATTCTGTTGTTATCACCATTTCACAGACGGGGAAATTGAGACACAGGGAGATTAAGTAACTTGCACAGTCATACACCTAATAGGTAGCAGAGCTGAGATTCAAATCCAGGCAGGCCGGAAAGCCAGAGTCAGTGCTCTTAGCCCCTACCCCTGTTCCATCCTAGAGGGGCTCAGCTAATCCTTGAAGGATGAGGGATTTTAGGGAGGCAAAATACTAAGGAGTGGGAGCTCCACAGACCTGGGTTTGGTAGTACTGGTTGTGTGACTTTAGACAACTTTGAGCCTCAATTTCTTCATCTGGTAAATGATAACATCCTCTTTTATACAGAGTGGTGTGACTGAGATAATGCGTTTAGTTAGAGCACAGTGCAAGGAGTATTATGATGATGATTATTGTTATAAACGGAGAGTGGGAAAGACAGGTACAGCTGACCAACACCCAGCATCATGGATGAACATGGACTATATGTGGTGGTTGAACAGGTGGCAGGGAGGGAGTCCGTGAAGTTACAGTGTGGGATGGTTGTAATAGGTGAGTGTGAAATAACAGTTGGCTGGGAAGCATGAGGCCAGGTCATTGAGGACCTTGAAAACTAACTAAAATGCTCTACAGCTCTTCAAAACAGCAGGTGTGTGGACTTTGTTGACATATGGAAATGTATGTTTGGAAAAAAAAATAGAATGCAAAATAGTATGTACAGACTGACAGCTGTGTAAACATATTATAGCCTGTTAAGCTTAGTGATCAGAAGGGCATCTGCAGAGCTATAAATATTCAAGTTCAGGCTGGGAACAGTGGCTCATACCTGTAATCCCCGCACTTTGGGAGGCCAAGGTGGGCGGATTACTTGAGCCCAGGAGTTCCAGACCAGCTTGGGAGACATGACAAAACCACATTCTCTAAAACATATACAAAAAATTAGCTAGGGCTGGGCACAGTGGCTCACGCCTGTAATCCCAGCACTTTGGAAGGCAGAGGTGGGTGGATCACGAGGTCAGGAGTTCAAGACCAGCCTGACCAACATGGTGAAACCCCATCTCTACTAAAAATACAAAAAATTAGCTGGGCATGGTGGTGCATGCCCCTATAATCCCAGCTACTCAGGAGGCTGAGGCAGAAGAATCGCTTGAACCTAGGAGGCAGAGGTTGCGGTGAGCGGGGATCATGCCATTGCACTCCAGCCTGGGTGACAGAGTAAGACTCCATCTCAAAAAAAGAAAAAAAAGCCAGGAATGGTGGGCACACATCTGTAGTTCCAGCTACAGATGGGAAGATTGCTTGAGCCAGGGAGATCAAGGCTGCAGTGAGCCATGATTGTACCACTGCACTCCAGCTTAGGTGACAGAATAAAACCCTGTCTCAATTAAAAAAAAAAAAAATTCAAGTTCATCACTTTTTATTTTTCTGTAAACACCTAATGACTACTAAGAACACACAGGAGGCCAGGCTGAGGAGTTTGGCTTTTCACCTGTGGACCTCCATGGGGAGTCGTTGCAAATTCTATCGGTTTGTTTTGCTTTTTCATCGGGATGGAATTCATATACAGTCAATCCTCCCTATTTGTGGATTCTGTATTTGCAAATTTTGCTTAGTGGCTAAAATTTATTTGTAACCCCAGAATCAATGTTTGTATTGCTTCTGTGGTCATTTACAGACATGCACAGAGCAGTGAAAATTTGGAGTTGTTCAACGCACAAGTTCCCAGCTAAACAATAGGATCCTGTCTTCTTGTTTTAGCTGTCATACATAAATGTCTTTTTCTGTTTAGTGTCACGTGTTATAGTGCTATCGGCCATGAGTTCAATGTTAACCAACCAACAAAATATATTAAAGTGTCTTTAAGCAGAAACACAGCTAAAACAAGGTTATGGTTATGTATTGATCAGTTGACAAAAATCTTGTGACCAGGGGTCATAGGAACCTAACCCTGTATTTCCCCTAGGAGAAACGGGTCAGTATTTACGAATACCATGTTCACTGCAACTTTATAGAACATAACTATGACAAATGGTGAGGATTGGTTGACTGTACCACATGATTCCTTTTTTTTCAAAATCAGACTTTTATGTTTTGGTATATGCACAAGGTTATGCAGCCATGACTGTCACTGCAGATTTTCAAGCAGTAAAATGGCCTCAATGAGCAGCGGTTTGAGAATTATCTGTCCATCTTTCCCTGTCCCCTGATTTCTTTCTGGTCTCTTTCAGAATGCCCAGGAAAACCATGGGCTGGCTGTCCCCACCCCCTCAGTTCCAGAAGACTTCGCAGACAAAGAAGTGACAGGTAAGTGAACCCTGGGCTTGAGGCTTGTCCATCTTTCTTTCTGTCCTCCTAGGGCCCTGAGTTCAAAAGCCAAGCATCTTTCTGACCATCTTCACAGCTGGTGACAAAGACAGAGTCCCCAGGCACAGCCACTCTCGCTATCCTCAGTCCTCTTGATTACTGGCTGCAGTGGGCCCGGGCAGTGGGGCTGGGAGTTCAGGAGAGCCAGGGTCAGCAAAGGCCCCCTTCTGGCGGGGGAAGGATGGTGAGGCGACAAGGCCAGAGCAGGAACAAGTGCAGCATAAAGTGGGAGAAGGGCCTGGCTTTGAATCCCACCTCCCCACATACTCGCTTTGCTCCCTTGGGCAAGACGCTTCACCCCTCCTACCTCTGTATCTTCCAATGAACAATGGGAACAACAGTTCAGTTTGGAGGAGTAAATGAAGTGGTGGATGGGATATAAGTCATGTCTGTCACACCTCTCAGAGGTGCTTCAAACTCGCTAATGGCTTCCCTTATCACTCAGAGAAAAGGTTCTTGCAAGGACTGCTGGAGTCTAACCTGAGTCTGGCCACTTTCCTTGCTTGCTTTCTCCTCCCACACTACCCCGGCCAAAGTGTCTCCTGTTGCTCCTGAAATACCCCAGGCACATTTCCACCTTGGGGTCTTTGCACTGCAGACCTCTCAGGTTAGAATGCTCTTCTGCAAGGCATCTGTGTGGCCGTCTCCCTCACTCCTTCCTTCTTTGCTCAAATGTCACCTTCTCTGCGAGGCCTTCTCAGACTACTTTATTTATTTATTTATTTATTTAAGATGGAGTCTTGCTCTGTCGCCAGGCTGGAGGGCAGTGGCGTGATCTCAGCTCACTGCAACCTCGGCCTCCTGAGTAGCTGGGATTGCAGGCGCTCGCCACCACGCCCAGTTAATTTTTGTATTTTTAGTAGAGACAGGGTTTCACCATGTTGGCCAGGATGGTCTCTATCTCTTGACCCTGTGATCCGCCTGCCTCGGCCTCCCAAAGTGCTGGGATTACAGGTGTGTGCCACCGCACCCAGCTGGACTGCCCTATTTAAATTGCACCCGCTGCACCCCTCCCTTGCTGGTATTTTTTCCCATCGCACTCATCCTCTAATGTGATAATAATGTACTCACACGTTATGTTCATTGTCCCATTCAAGCATAAGCTCCCTAGGAGGGCCAGTGTTTGTCCGTTTTTTGTTTTGTTGGTTTTCTGCTGCTGTACCCCAGCTCCTAACTCCTGCCTGACAGTTGGGTGCTCAGTGAACGTTAGTCTTCCCTTTCCCTGCTCTTGGTTTCTTCAGTTTGAAGTCAGGCAGCTGGGAGGAGCCCTTCAGAGCTGCACACTCCCCAGGTTCGCCACACTGTTAGGGACTGAGAGGAGGGAAGCAAAGGATGGGTGCCACTAAGAAGGAAGTAGACTCTGGGAGGGGGGCTGGGGACCTGGTCTGAGGACAACAGAGGGATGTGAGCTGCTGGGGCCAGGGACTCTCAGCATCTCTTTAGTAACCCAGATTGTCCAGGCCACCTTCCTTCTGCACACCCCCGTTCTATCATGCAGACCAGAATCTGCCTCCGTTCTCTATGAAGTGGACAGCTGGGTTCTTAGTAGCTTCAGGGTCTTTAGAAAGCAGGAGTTGTTTGTGTAAACTGCTCCCTCCTGCAGGTCTGTCACCCAGCCTTCCTCACTGAGGAGCTCTCTCGCCCCTGCCCCATGACTTCCTATCTCTTTCCCACTTTCCCTGTCTCACACAGTCTGAAAAGGTCAGCACAGATGGTAGCAGTCAAAGTGGTTCCGTTCTATTAACTGCCTACTAGAGGCCTGGCACCATGACAAGCCCTTTCTGTGTATTTCCATGGATTCTCTCATTTAATCCTCACAACAGCTGTAAGAAGCGAGCACGGACAACATGCTCCTTTGATAGATGAGGAAACTGAGGCTCAGCAAGGTTAATTAGTGTGTTCAAGGTCGCTCATCTAATAAGTGGTAAAGCTGGGATGTGAACCCTGGACTTTCTGGCTTGGCCAAGATCAAGGTCGCAGTAAAAAACAGATGGCGCACTCAAAGGGGGTAACTGAAGAGAGCTGAGTAAAGGGACGGCGTACCAGAGTGTGAGCTTGGTTAGGCGACTCCTGTCTCCTGGGAACAGTGACACCCAGGGACTGAACGCAGTGGGAGAGGGACATCCCGACAGGACCTGTGTCTGCGGGGCAGAAAGGCAGCTGCTGCCAACCTGTGACGCAGCCAGGAGGCAGCCAGAGGAACCAGAGCCCTGGCCCTCTTGTCCCCACCCCCCATCTCAGAGGGCAAGGGAGTCCCGGCGCAGGTTAGAGCGTGACTCTGGGGAGGCAAATGGAGGTTATTCCTTACAGGCTTCAAAGGCTGTGCCAGGGACAGGCAGGGGACCCTCCCTAGAAAGAAGGGGGACACTCCCAGGACAGCTCAGGAGACTGGACACGGGGCTGCTCCCTCTCTTGGTGTGCAGGAGAAAATGATCCAGTCATTCTCTTGGGCGCCCACCCCTGCCCCTGCGCTGGGTAAATTGGCAGGGCTGGTCTGCTTTGTTTCCGCCCCCCATCTTTGTCTCTTCTTCTTTCAGGTACCAGCTCACTAGTCAATGGCAACCTCCGACTGTACAGCTCTGTGGGTGACCTGAGGCCTGGGCAGTATGGCCAGGATCTACTCATCCCCCCACCTCCCCCAGGCCCAGCCCCGGGGCCCCCCCAGGACATTTCACAACCTCCAGGGGAGTTGCCACTGCCATCTCCACCTTCCACAGCACCCCCACCGCCTCCCCTGCTGCTGGAACCCCCACCCCCGCCCAGCATGGCCCCACCTCCACCCCCAGTATTGGAGGCCCTGTCCCCACCACACACTCTTTCCTCCCCATCCACACCCACCCCTCCTGACTTCATTCCCCCTGCCCCACCCTTGGCCTTTTTAGCCCCCCCACCACCTCCTATGCCAGCCCCAGCACCCCCAGCTCCAGCATCTCCTCACACAGTGGGAACTCGTCTCTTTCCTCCTGGGGGTGTCACCAAGTGGAAATCAGATGTAGCACTGAATGGCAGGCAGGCAGAGGCCACCAGATTTAGCCCCCCGAGAAGCCCTGCTGAGCCAAAGGGGAGTGCCCTGGGACCTAACCCAGAGCCCCATCTCACCTTCCCCCGTTCTTTCAAAGTGCCTCCCCCAACCCCAGTCAGGACTTCGTCCATCCCAGTTCAGGAAGCACAAGAGGCTCCTCAAAAGGAAGAGGGGGCCACCAACAAGGCTCCCAGCCGACTCCCACTGCCTCCCAGCTTCCATATCCGCCCCGCCTCCCAGGTCTACCCAGACAGGGCCCCCAAGCCAGACTGCCCTGGGGAGCTCAGGGCCGCAGCACCAGCCAGCCCAAGGCTGGGCCAGTCCCAGTCCCAAGCAGATGAGCCCCCAAGAGTTGGGACTCCGGGGACTCCGCCTCCAGCCCCTCCCCTGCCCCCTCCTGCAGCCCCCCTCCCTCCCCCACCACCCCCACTTCCCCCAGCTGCACCTCCTTTGCCCTGTGCTCAGAAGGCAGCCCATCCACCTGCTGGATTTACAAAACCCCCTAAATCCAGCTCTCCTGCTCTCAAACCCAAACCCAACCCCCCCAGCCCAGCGGACACAGCCTCTTCAGCACCTGTGGACTGGAGGGACCCCAGCCAGATGGAAAAGCTGCGGAACGAGCTGGCGGCCTATCTCTGTGGCTCCAGGAGAGAGGACCGATTCCTCAGTCACAGGCCAGGCCCAACAGTGGCCCCTCAGAGCAAGGAGGGCAAGAAGGGCCCCAGCATGCTCGAGAAAGAGACTCCCCCGAGCCCGCCAGCAAAGGACACTCCCCCAGGTGTTCCTGAAAAGAGTCTTGGCGGCAGCAGCCTGACAGAGACAGAGGCTACCCCCAGCCTGGCCCTGCCCCCTGTGGACTACATTCCCCAAGACTCTCCAACTCCCAGTGTGCGGCAGATCCGGAATGAGCTGGAGGCCCGGCTCTCCTCATCAGCAGAGAAGGAGGCCAAGCCCAGCATAGGATCTCTACCCCCTAAGCCTTGGCTAGAAGGGGGAAGAATTTTTGAAAATGGGGCTGATAATGACAAACTCTCCAAGCCTGTGGCCAAGAATCTGCCACCTCAATCTACCACCCTGCTGCCAATCACACCACTCCAGCCCAAGGCCATGTTGGGACCAGCCACACCACCCAAGGCCACATCTGGGTCAGCCACACCACCCCAGGCCACACCTGGGCCAACCACACCACTCAAGGCCACATCTGGGTCAGCCACACCACTCAAGGCCACAGCTGGGCCAGCCACACCACCCAAGGCCACACCTGGGCCAACCACACCACTCAAGGCCACAGCTGGGCCAGCCACACCACCCGAGGCCACACCTGGGCCAACCACACCACTCAAGGCCACAGCTGGGCCAGCCACACCACCCAAGGCCACATCTGGCCTGGCCATATCATCTACAGCCACAACTCTGCCCACCACCACATCCCAACTGATGGCAGAGAAAGACTCAGGGCCAGCTGGGCAGCCAGCGAAGCCAGCATCTCAAGAAGTTTCCACTCCCTCCCAGCAAAGGGGAGAGGGGTCCCCCTCAGAGGCCACTAGGCTGCCCACACAGGGAGCCCACTCATCTCCAGCCCTCCCACCAAAGACATCTCCTGGTGGAGGAGAGGTGCCATGTCTCTACAAGCCCCACTGCCACCAGAGCAGCCTCAGCCGTGAGGTTGCTGTGGTGATGCCCACCCTGGCCAGAGGAGGGGCTGCAGGGCCAGGGGAGCCCGTAGAGGTGAAGGAGCCCCCAGGGCTGCCAGCCAAGCCCTCTGCCTCAGCCCAGCCCACTGATGAACTCCTCAGGCACCCGGTGACTGGGGAGGTGGTGGAGCGGGGCTCACCGATGGCCCTGCTCCTGGCGGCCAGGCAGAGGGCGCAGAAGGGGAGACCTGGAGGGGCTGCCCTGGGTCGGTCCTCTCTGCCAGGAAGTCTCCGTGACCACAGCCACCAAGCCGAGGTCAGCTCTGACAGCATCTTCCACAGCCAAGGCAGGCCCAACTCCTTCACTGTGGTGCCCAAGTTACCCAAGGAAGCTGAGAAGGACTCCCCGCTGACGATCGAAATACCCAATAAGTGGGGGCCGCGGCCGGGAAGAGACGCCGAGGGCACAGAGCCGAGCCGCAGGCACAACTGGACAAAGCCGGAGCCCCAGGCCCCTGTGGCCTGGGAAAGAGCTGCTACCTCCAACCTCCCCCAGGGCCACCCGCTGCCCAAGTCCTTCTCCTCTCCACCTTCTCCTTCGTACAAGAGAGAGGAGGAGGAGGAGGAGTTCAACTTCGAGGTCATCCCACCGCCGCCAGAGTTCAGCAATGACCCTGAGCCCCCGGCCCCGGCCCTCCAGTATCTGGGCCGCCGGAGCTCCCCTCCCCGGAACAACTACTCAGACTTGGGGCAGCCCCCGAACGCTGGCCCCGGGGCGCCCCCGGCTCTCGGCTTCTCGCGCTTTCCCGTGGGCGCGCGCTACGCCGGGGCTGGGGGCCTGGAGCGCTTCTCGGGAGGGGGCCGCTCGCTCATAAAGAAGCGCCTGTACGTCGGGGAGCCGCACCGCGGCCCAGGGATGCCCCGCGGTGGCACAGGCCGCAGCCTGAGCCCTCCCAACTGCTTCCGGCCGCAACCCGGAGGCCCCGAGATGCGGCGCGTGAACTCGGCGGGTCGCGCGCCCCCCGGAGGCCTGCATGCAAGGAGGCTGTCCCTGGAGGGCGCCGCCCGGGGCGCCGCGGAGGCCAAGCACAAAGCGCCTGGCAGCGCCCCAGCTGCTGGCAGGTGAGCTGCGGACCCGCCTGGTGCGGGAAGCCGGGAGGGGTGAAAAGCCAGGCGAGGGCCAAGGAGGCCCGGCCATCAGTCAAGAGAAAACATTTGGTTTTCTCCCCTCGGCCTTGCAGGTAGAACGGGGAGGGAGGCCCACTTACCGGGAGAGGGCGCTGTTGGCGCCTTCCTGACCTGCTTCGGGACCTCCCTTGTTCTCTTTCCCCATCATCTCCTCTCGTCTCTCTCCCACCCGCTAGATCCCAGCGGTCAGGCTAAGTGTGGGGCGGGCAGAGATCTGAGTGGGCCTTCGGTGGAGGGATTTCCCAACACAGAGTTGGATCCAGACACAGGCTAGGAGTGAAAGATTTCTGAGAGAGAGGATATTAGGCATGTTCTCTGGCCAGCAGGGCCCAGACCGGAATAGGAGCCCTGTCTGTGATGGTCTCAGTCCCTCCCTGGGGTCGATAAGCCCAGGGCTTGTGGGGGCAAATACAGAAGTATGAGCAGCATCTTTTCCTCTCGGTCCCTGGGGGAGATGGGAGGCGTGTTGGCTAACCAGCTGCAGATATTAACCTCACTTCTCTTGCTCTCCCCCAGGTCTCCCCACACCACCACCCGCTATGGAAGCCCCATCAACACGTTCACCGTGAGGCCTGGGACCCGCCATCCCATCTCCTATGCCTGCTCAGGGGCCCATTGGAAAGCCACCTCCTGAGCCAGGGGCTCTCTTAGCTCTATTCCAACAAACTGTGTCCTTAAGGATCTGGGCACTTGTTTCTTGTGGGGGGTGGGAGGTACACAGCAGCTGTTAGGCGACCTGACTCAGACACAGAGGAGTCTTTGATCCCCAAAGACCAACGATGAGAAGCAGTGGCCCAGGAAGATCAAGAGTGGGCTTCTGTTTCTCAAAGCCTGGTGTGGCTGTGGACTGTTTACATATCGGGGGTGGGAGGGGAAGGAGGTTAGAGAGGAGGAACCATTAAGGACCTGGGCGCTGAGTTTCTGCTCTCTGGTACTATCTGCTTTAGCAAGAGTTATTTAAAACAGTTTTACAAGCACGGCCTACTGAGCAGGTTCTGAAAACAAGGGGTGGGTCACTGACTCTGAACTGGAACCCATCGAGATAGCTGTGATTGTCTCTCAGGCCCTTGCAAAGGGCTGATTCCCAGCTCTATCCTGGTGGGTGTGCAGGGCACCGAAGGGAGAGCTTTAGCCTCCATCACCTGCCATCCCAAGCAAGAGTGAACACCTGGGGTTCCTAGGCGCATTGAGGTGGGACCAGGAATGTGTATGTATAACACATGGAGAAGGACCATGTGTGGGGTGGGGAGAGAAGCTCCCACATGTGGAATGGAAGCCCTTTGCATTGGCCAAGGGCAGAGGTGGGAGATTGATGGTTCATTTCTCCTTGGCTCTGGCCCTTAGCTACAGGGAAGCCTAGAGAGAGGACACTTGGCAAGTTTAGGATGGGAAGCAGGGTTAAGCCTGGCTGTGCTATTCAGACCTGTGCAGCCCTGATTTTGGGGATTGGGCCCAAGGGCATTTTTCCTAACACTGATACTACAAGTCACCAATACTACTGATGCCTTAAGATGCTAGAAAGCCTTGGAGAGTGGAGGCAGCAGAGATGGGAATGGAGGTCTGAAGAAGCTTGCTGCTGAAGGGGAATGTGTTTGGGAAAGTCAAGAGTGGTAGGATTGGTTGGCCGGGTGCAGTGACTCACACCTGTAATCCCAGCACTTTGGGAGGCCGAGGCTGGTGGACCACTTGAGGTCAGAAGTTCGAGACCACCTTGCCAAAATGGTGAAACCCTATCTCTACTAAAAATATGGGGGGGAAAAAAAGGGTGCTAGGATTGGGCCAGTTAAGAGCAGGGGAGACCTGGCCGGGCACGGTGGCTTACGCCTGTAATCTTAGCCCTTTGGGAGGCTGAAGTGGGTGGATCACGAGGTCAAGAGATTGAGACCATCTTGGCCTACATGGTGAAACCCCGTCTCTACTAGAAATACAAAAATGAACTGGGCATGGTGGTGTGTGCCTGTAGTCCCAGCTACTCGGGAGGCTGAGGCAGGAGAATCGCTCGAACGCGGGAGGCAGAGGTTGCAGTGAGCCAAGATCGCGCCACTGCACTCCAGCCTGGTGACACAGCAAGACTCCGTCTCAAAAAAAAAAAAAAAAAAAAGAGCAGGGGAGACCTATTAGTATGGTGACCACGTGTCCTTTGCCTGGGCTGTCTAGGTTTATGCTTGTTTTCCAGTGAATTAGACCCCCTTCCACTTCGCAAAAAAGTCCTGGTTTAGATGCTATAATCACCAAACATACCAGGAAGCAATATTCCTGGGTCTTGCTTCCCTATCTTCAGGTCTTGGTGGGCCAAATTCTTGGGACCAGACCAAGGTGGCCTGCCTCAGTAAGAAGGAAGGACTGAAGAGTGGTCCATTTCAGAGGAGCAGGCTGGTGGGGGCCAGCCAGAAAGTAGTTCCCTTTGGGGGAAGATGTTGGACATTTATTACTTGTGGTAACCAGCCTAGGCACTGTGTTGTCAGGACAGCAGGTGAGCCACTTTAGGGAAGAAAGTGCAGGGGTGGGTGGGTGCCCAGATGACCAAGGCCAGCCACCATGATGGGGTAGGGCCTGGTTATCTGTGTTCAAGAAGCGAATCCCACCCCAGCGCCAGCACTAGCTCTCTCTATATGTATGTATTTTCCCTGTACAATGTTTTATAAAAGAGATCACTAATTTATCTGCTGTGCTAAGGCCTGAGGAGTGGGGTCTAGACTCTCAACTGTATATTGCTCTGGGGTGGGCAGGGAAGACTGAGTCTCACTTGACTTGGAAAATAAACGGCCAGTTTGGACTGGCCTCCAGCTCCGTGGCTGTGTTTGTCTAACAAGGATTTGGGTAACTATTGGATACAGGCCACTATGCTTAGCATGGATAGACTGCCATCAACTCACCCACATGACTCCTGTTCATGGCAAGCTAATAGTCTAGTGGAGGAGAGGACTGAAAAAGAGCACACAAAAACATCAAAAATTACAAGTAGTAAGAAGGAAAGGAACAGGGAACGTGAGAGAATAGCTAGATGTGGGGAGAAGAATGGATTTACTTTAACAGGGTGGTCAGGGAAGGCCTCTTGTGGTGGTGACATACTGATTTAGGCAAAGCATCCAGCACGTGCCTAGCGCTTAGTAGTAGATCAACAAATGGCATCTTTGGGTGATGGCTACCTCACATTCGTATGTGGCCCATTACAATTTTCCATAAAGCTTTTTTTATTTTAAGGCCATCTTGACGTCATACTTTTAGAATGTTTTATTTTATTATTATTATTTTAGATGGAGTCTTGCTCTGTCACCTAGGCTGGAGTGCAGTGGCACCATCCTGGCTCACTGCAACCTCCACCTTCCAGGTTCAAGCGATTCTCCTGCTTCAGCCTCCCGAGTAGCTGGGACTACAGGCATGCGCCACCACGTCCAGCTAATTTTTGTATTTTTTAGTGGCAATGGGGTTTCACTATGTTGGCCAGGCTGTTCTTGAACTCCTGACCTTGTGATCCACTTGCTTCGGCCTCCCAAAGTGCTGGGATTGCAGGCGTGAGCCACAGCACCCGGCCCCCAATTTATTTTTTTTCCAGAAAAGAAAACCAGAAAAGTCATCTCGAGACAGTGTTAGAGAAAGCGTTGTGTTTCCTCCTCTGAGTCTTTTGTGGGGACTTTATGGGAAAAGGAAGATGACTCACTTACTCTGAAATTTGGGCTTCCAGGAAGGGCCTCTCCCATCCTTGGTGCCTCCTCGTTCTCCTGTCTCTCACTGTCCCCCAACATATACCATGATGTCCTCATTCTGGAAACCCCGAGTTGGGATAGTGGCTCAGGCCCTTCATCTGGCTTTTCTCCCCCCCTTGCTCCCTTCTAACATTTTCTCCCTCATCTGACATGGGAGGGGCAATGGTTAACCTAGGAGGGAGGGCAGAGAACAAGGGCCCCACATCCTGGCTCTGCCTCTGACAAGCTGTGTGACCGGGGTGTCAGCTGACTCATCGGAGAAATGGGGAGGGTGGACTTGGGCCTTGTCTGGATATTAAACTTTGTTGGGTCCCTGACCTCTTTGAGAAACTGATGCACGCTTCTCAAGAGGCCACAAGTGCATTTTATACACTATTTCAGGCACCCCACAGATTCCCCCAGATTCAGGCTCCACAGGCTTCACGTTGAAAACTCCTTAAGTGACAGTGGTCAAGGTACCCGCCAACACTTATTTAACCTTGACAGTTTGCAAAGTTCCTTCTCTCTCTCATTTACCTGTGACAATCCTCTTAAAATGTGCCGGCCATGTAATACTCCTAATTCCATTTTGCTGATGAGGAAATGAAGGCCCCCGGGAAGACATGTGAGTTGCTCAGAATGACCCCTCTGACTGGAAACCCTGTTCTTTCTGCGTGACTCATCACAGCTGCCTCCCTTATAGCTGTAACCACTCTCCCCACCCACTTATCCTCTCCCGGTCGTACCCCCCAAACTTTACCTCTTTTAGAGTGGCGGTGGAGGAGAGGCTGAGTGGGCTAGAGCTACCCTGGTGCCAAAACAAGATGAATGGGCATGGGTGGGGCAGATGTTCCTGGATCAGATTGGCCACACCTTGATTTCTGAAGCCTTTTCACTATTCCCTGGGCCAGAACCCCACCCCACCTCTCTTGTGAAGCCCAGCCTGCCCCAAAGCAACAGCTAGGACAGGTCCCTGGAAAAGCTGAGCTGGAAGCCTGGGGCCTGGCGTCAGCAATATGTAAAGGGGCCTGTCCTGGAAAAGGTCAAGCTCAGCTTTTGTCACGGCCAGGCTTGTTGAAGGAGAGAGGCTTCCTCTCACTCCAGGTGAGCCCTTCTGTGCAAAGCTGTAGGACAGAGGTGGCTCCAGAGCCTGGAGGGGTGAGGGAGAGGCCACCTCACTGCTGAGCTGTCAGGCAGGCCTGCCCCCACCTGCTCACCCACCTGCCTACCCCTGGCAGCCTGTGGCCGCTTCCATTTCTGCAGCTCAAAGGCCATCATCAGTCAGCTGTACGGGCGGGATGGGCACTGGCACCCGTCAGAGCGCCCGGGCCTCCTCCCTCCGAAGCCCCAGGAATGGCCAGATTCTGAGCCCTGCTGTTGGGGCCTCTGGGACGCTTTTTGCCAGCGATGTGAGAAAAGGTGCTCCTCTGGGAGAGGGGAAGAGACCAAGGCAATTTATTATGAATACTCCCTCATTGCACGGATAATCCTGTGCTCCTCTGCCCAGTTCCCACACCTCTGGAAACTTCACTCACATTTGGCACAGATGAGCCACTCCTCCCTCCTTCCCCTTCTTGAGAATCGTTCTCTGAGCCTGTACGGAACAAGGTGCTCCGATTCTCTGTCTTGCACGCTGGTTTCTTTCCTCCCTCCAGGTGTCTCCCTGTCCACCCTGTCCTCGGCTTTCCACTCCTTCTCTAGTTTCTTCCTTAGGAGACAGTGTCACCCCTCAAGCTCACCTGTACCAGGGGTCCATATTCCTAACTTTGGAAGTGCCTCCTGGATATGTCCATGTGGGTGCCTGGCCATCCACTCAAATCCAACCTCTCTAAAAAGTGATTCTCCCCTACTTCCTTCTCACACAATTGTGTGGCCAGAGCAGCCAGACCAATGGCTCCAAACTACCCCCATACTCATCCCCGCCTCATTGCTTGGGCTCCCTTGGCTTCCCCTAGGCCAGCTTACACTCAAGGCCCAGCTTGGATTGGAGCTCCTACAGGAAGCCTTCCCCAGCCCTGCACTGCTCGGAGACCTCTTCCTCCTCCATACCTACCTCTCCCACTTCTGTGGCAGCCTCTTCTTATTCAGGCTTCAGCTCAGACATGCCTCACCTACTAGGCCACAGCAGCTCCTGCCGAAGCTTCCCACAGCCCCTGCTGGTTTCCTTCCCCCAACTAGTGTTACTTGGTCTACATCTCTCTCCCAGTAACGTATAAGCTCCACAATGTAAGGACTGCCTCACTCATCACGGTATCCCCAGCATCCAGTGCTGCTCCTGGCACTAGCAGGTACTC